TCATTATTGTCCCCTCACCTGGGCTCCCAACTAATCCATCTACTCAAAACATTCCCACCCAAAAAAATGGTCATTCAATGAAATAGGGGATTTTAGAGCATTCCTGAGGAAAAGACCAGAGCTGAATAGAAAATTTGACTTTCAAATACATGAATCAAGTGAAACATGGAAAAGGTAAACAGGAAAAAGAAATCATAAGAGACTTATTAAGGTTGAACTGTTTACATTCCTGCAGGGAAAGGCGATATTTGTAACTCATGGGTCCTTTGGCAGTATTAGGGTAGTGGGAGGGAAAAAAATTACATGTATGTATAGATAGGTAGAGGGCACAGGGTGAGTTGAAGATGAAGGGGTGATATCTGGAAAATAAAATTAAGGGGTGAGAGAGGAGTATACTGGGAAAAGGAGAAAGGGAGAAGTAGAATGGGGTAAATTATCTCACATGAAACAGACAAGAAAAGGCTTTTTACAACGGAGGGGAAATGGGGGAAGGTGAGAGGGAATGAGTGAATCTTACTCTCGTAGGATTTGGCTTAAGAAGGAAATAACATACACGATGGGGTATGGAAATATATCTTACCCTACAGGAAAATAAGGGGGGAAGGGGACAAGAAAGCAGGGGGTTGATAGAGGAGAGGGCAGATTTGGGGAGGGGATAATCAAAAGCAAACACTTCTGAGGAGGGACAGGGTCAAAAGACAGAACAGAATAAATGGGGGGTAGGATAGGAGGAAGGGAAATATACTTAGTTTTTCACAACATGACTACTATGGAAGTGTTTTGCATGACTGCACATCTATAACCTGTATTGAGATGCTTGCCTTTTCAATGAGGGTGGGTGGGGAGGGAGGAAAGGAGAAAATTTGTAACCCAAAGTTTTAAAAACACATGTTAAAAATAAAATAAAATAAAATAAAGTAAAAAAAAAAAGCAAAAACACCATCCCCACCCTTTAGGCCCCCGCCAAAGCCCCGGCCCATAATTGTTGTCTCCTTCACCCAATTCATAGTGATAAATCACTGATGTAGGTATGCAAATTAATGACCTCATATTTGTTATTTAACCATTACCCAAGTGTACGTCCCGTTTCCCCAGGTAAATAGTTTCTTGAGGACAGGGGCTATGTTGCTAGGGAAGAGGGGAAGGAGAGAGTGTTGTGTGTCTGTCCCACACCACGTAAGGCACATAGTTGAGGGCTGAGTAAATTAGTTGAATAATTTAACTGATGCCAGTTGATTGTGTAGCTTGCAAATTCATTCAAACACTAGGAAACCCTGAAAGTATAAAAATTAAAGAAAAAGAGAGCTGTCTGTTCAAAGACTTTTACAGCAGTATTATATGCTATCACAGAAATATTGGAAACAACTGACTGCCCAATAAAAGAGAGATGGTTAAATAAATGATGGCATATTAATCTAAATCCATTAATGGTATACTATGATGCCATTAGATAAGCAAGAAAAGGAATACATAGAAACCTGGAAAGAAGTTAGTGAAATAATGCGAAGTGGAAAAAGCAGAACCAGAGGGATGAAGGGCTCATTACCTGCCACACTAGCCAGGGCCACGAGAAGAAAAGTGAATTAAAATAAATGAATAAACAAAGAATCCTAATGAAGGCTTAGGAAATGACTGAAAAATGGTTAGCAAATGCATTGAAGTTAACTGCAAATCATCACTAGGCAGGGTTAATTGGTTGTACTGTTTTTCCAAGTTAATTTTTTAATAAAATAGAGATAGAGGATAGGAATTATACCTGTGATTTCATTTAGTATAGGGAACTACCATATGAGGAAGCTGCCCTTTCCCAAAGCAGGTCAGCACCCTCCCTACAACTTAGAATTGTTAAATGATTTGCAATGCGCATCAAAAGTCAGGTCTCCCTGGCCCCAAATCTGGTTTTCAAACAGCAGGAGGTGTAGGAGAAGGGAGAAGAAAGATCTAGAAACAGAGCCAGTGGCCTTGGGGGTGTAGTTATTCCTGGGGCTCTTAGGCACAGCTGTGGTCCTTGGCCAAGGTTACAAAACTGGGTGACTGGAAGAATAATGGTGTCTTTGACAGAAACAGGGAAGGTTGAAAGAGTACTAGGTTTGGGATTGGGGAGATAATGAATTCTATTTTGGACATACTGAGTTTGAGATGTTTCTAGGATATCCAATTTGAAACGTCCAAGAGGCAATTGCAGGACTGATGCTCAGGAGAGTGACTGGAGCTGAATGTGTAGATCTGGGAGTCATCAACATAGAAAAGATCATTAAACCCAGGGAAGCTAATGAGTGTAGAAAGAGAAGATTAAAGGACCTAGATTAGAGCCTCAATGAACCCCCACACTTAAGGGAAGTGGTCTGGTTTATGAATCAGCAAAGGAAACTGAGAAGTGGTTAGACGGAAAGAGAACCAGGAGAGAGTGATATCACAGAAGCCAAGATAGGAGAAGGTGGTCAGCAGTATCAAGTGCAATAATAGTTTAAGAAGGATGAGCCAGGACTGAGGGAAAGAAAATGGAAAAAAAAAAACAAAACTATCAGATGTGACCATTAAGAGATCATTGGTAATTTGGAGAGAGAAATTTTAATTAAGTTATGATAACAGAAGCCAGAGTTGAAGAGTGAGTGAGAGGAGAAGTGGAGACATTGAGTATAACCAGCCTTATCTAGGAGTTTGGCTAAGAAAGGGAGTGGAGATAGAGAACTGTTTCCATTTAGATTTCAATGTGATTCTTAGAATGCTGTCATACTTGCCTTTGGAGCTCCCAAAGGCACATCTTAGCTCAGTGCTCCCATCAAGAGCAAGAGTTGCTCCCAATTTCGATGTGTAGATTTCCTGATTTAAACTCCACCTAGGCTGCTTTCACTTGTGCATGGTTGACAAATCTGAATTCCAACTCACCTCTAGATCAATCACCCTTTTATTCCCACTAGATCAAATGAGATAATGTATGTAAAATGCTTTGCAAATTACAAAGTACCGTATAAAGTTAGCTGATGATGGTGGTGGTGGGTAGTAGTACAGTTCAGAATGCCATTGGGCAACAATTACCTTTATGTTATTCACCTAATAGAATAAGTCAATGAATTTTGGAAGACCAAAAGGCTAGCTTCACAAACTTGACCCATTACTTAACTGGTCTTCACAGCATCTCTTTGAAGCAGTGATATTGCCATTTTGTAGAAAGAAAAGCTTTGACCAAGAAGCTCATTTACTTATTGAGACCAGTCTCTTGACTTTCACTCCAATTGCCCACCAGACAATCCTTCCTAAAATAGGGGTGTTGTGTGCTATCGTGGGTCTTTCCATGTATTGCTAAGTTACAGGTCACTCTCTGAGCACCTCCACTGAAACTGTTGTATTTCTTACTTCTTGGCTAGCGAGATGGCAAAGAATGTTTTTCTTTGGGGCAGCTAAGTGGCTCAGTGGATAGCGCACCAGCCCTGAAGTCAGGAGGACCTGAGTTCAAATCTGGCCTCAAACCAAACACTTGACACTTAATAGCTGTGTGACCTTGGGCAAGTCACTTAACCCCAATTGTCTTAAAAAAAAAAAAAGGAATGGTTTTCTTTGTTTCCTTGCCTCGGATATGGGGAAGGTGGCATCTGAATAGCCCCATCTGGAAATGATGATGGCAGCTCATGTGAATGTAATACTTTTCCAGTTGCAGAGCACTTTATATACATTCTCACCCTTTATCTTCACAGCAGTCCAATGAGATGGGGCGTACAAGTATTATTATTCTCATTAGCTTTGAGTCTCAGTGAGTAATAAAGCTCAAAGAGATAGGTAACTTTCCCAAGGTCACCAGTAGCAGAGCTGGCACTGGTGAATCCACATCCAACATCCCTTCCAACTAAACCATTCAAGTATAAACTTGCTTCTCTTTCTGTCCAATATCTTTTGGAATTATTGCAAGCCAAAAAATTTATTCAAACTTTGAATATCTCAGCCAGCCCAGAGCCTACCAGGGACCCACTTCAGTCCTGCTATAGCTGCCCAGATCCCAGAGAGTGCCCCATAGGAACAGACTATGGGGAGCCCTTTGTCTCTACCACTGTAGCCACCATTATATGCAGTTCCTACCAGGCACTGGAAAGCCACCTCTGGCAGGATACTGACATTCCCTCTACCCAATTTACCTCCCCTACTATTAGCAACCAGAACCCCGCATCATTCCATCCTTAGGAATATTTCCCATTATGCCACTTTAAAAAAGTAGAGCATTACCAGCTATAGTTCTTCCAGGAAGAGGAGTGAATCAGTGGACCTTAACCATCTATCTGCCCTCCCATTGCTCCCAAAGACCCTCCAAGTCTTATCATCTGCTCTGCTTTTATGCCCTCCATATCCTGGGGCCTTTCCTTCTGCACTGCTGCTGAGCTCTCCTATGTGGGTTGTCTCCCCTAATCAGAATACGAGCTCCTTGGAGAGCATAGACTGCTGATTTTCTCTGTTGCTATCCTCAGCACTTAGCACAATCCTCTGAACACAGTAAACTCTTAATAAATACTCTTCCATTCCATCATGTTCAAGGTCAGATATGCTCTAAATATCCATTCTCAAACCACCTTGAGGGGAAGCTGACTTTTGTGTAAACAGCCCTTAGGCTGGAAATTGGAACCATTTCACACTCCATCCACCTATGCACTCTCACAGTTTCAGATTAGTAGCAGGCATCCAATCCTTGGTTTTCGTAATTTTATTTTACTGAGCACCTAATGCTCTGGATAGAAACCTCTAGCTAATTTCGATGTAGCTGTTTATTTTCTGCAGCGAAACAGCCTAGTTCCACATTTAAATACTTGGTATTTTCTAGCTTGTCCATTTTTTTTTAAGCACACTAGCACAAATCTGTGGATACAATAATTCCATATAGCAAAGGAGATTGGTAGTGTAGTAGAAGGATGGAATCTGCAGGAAAATTGAGTACCTAGCCACCTGTGTCAGGGCAGTGGGTCACTAATTGAGTGCAAACCTCTTTTTTTTTAATGTTGTTTATCCCCCCACAGGGCATACAAAACCATTGAGGATGATGACCTGAAGTTTCCCCTTATATATGGAGAAGGCAAGAAGGTAGGCATTGTGTTTTTCCTGAATTGAAAGGATAAAGCAGTCTGCTCCCCACCATTATGTTAGCCCATGGCAGTCCTATGTTTTCCACTCAGTATTTCTCTGTTTGATCATTTTGACAGCCTGAAAAAATAGCCTATCAGCCATAAATCAGCCTCCTCTATTGAGATATGGTTGGTGATGGGTGGAAAGGACAATGGATTGAAAATCAGTTTTATGACAAATTTTGTCACTTAACTGTTGAGTTTGTTTTTGTTTTCTACATGCAGCCAGCACACAAAACGAAATCTGAGACTTTGCTGTAATTAAGGTGCAACTAGATTAACTTAAATTAATTACTGCTGATGTGCAGGCAGACGTGGAAGCCTCTGTTAGTGAAGCCTGGGGCCTCCTGAGGCAGTTAGCTGGGGGAGGACCTAGTTGACCAGTATTGACCCCTGCTCAGGCTCTGCATCTTAAAATGGTCTGTGAACAAAGGACTGGAGATTGAAATCCTGGAGTTTAAGGGAGAGATCTGAGTTCACGCTCCAGTGAGAAACCCACCATCTCAACCATCGCCTCCGCCTTAATCAGCATCCTTGTTAACAGGCACCAGTACGTTTAGTTGTTTATGTGAGATGTTGGATAAAGCCAGAAGAGATGGGGAATGACCACTGAAAATAGAGCTTCAATTAATTCATGCCATTTCCAGCAGATATTGATTCTGTATTTGTCTATTACGTTTTAAGCCCAGTGATAGACCTTGAAGATACAGAGACCAAAATGAAGTGTCCCAGGCCGTTGCAAGCTTGCATTCTTCTATGGGATATGACACTTCCCCAGATAATTAAATAGAAAGCATATTTGAGTGGGGAGCAGACCCTAATAACTGGGAGGAAGAAAGGGAGGGAACGTATTCAGGTAGGTAGTGGCATCTGAGTTGAAAACTCACATCTAGGCAGAATTATATTTTTAAGCACTTAGCTTTGATAAAAAGAAGATGAATCACAGAGGAAAATATGGGTTTCGTTTTGTTTTTAAGAATTTACAGAATGTTGTCTGAGGTTAAAATACATTTAGCCTCTGTTCTCCTACCACTCTTACAGCTGGAGTATTCTGTAACTGAGAATGATCATTCAGAAACACTGTAAATGAGTATGGGCCCTTCACCACTAAGCCAAAATGTACATGCCCGGGTCCATGAGAGATACCCCAGGACAGCAGATAATGGGATTACTCTGATCACACTGGTGTTACCAGGGTTCAGATTCTGGCTCTGGGCGCTTCTGGTTAGGATGGTGATGGGAATGATCACGGAGGAACCCAGCTGTCCCACATACTCTCCAGTATATATCTAAACGGAAAGAGGGAGAAGGAAATAACACATGTGCCAGGCACTGTACAAAGTGCTTTTCTTTTTAATAAATATTTTCCCATTTGATCGTTACAGCAACCCTGAAAGGTAGGTACTATTGTTATCCCAATGTTACAGATGAGGGAACTGAGGCAGACAGAGGCTGTGCCTTGCCCAGGGTCATACAGCTAAAAATCTGTGGCTAGAACTCAGGACTCACAGGCTAGAACTTGGGGTCACGCAACTAATAATAAGTGTGAGGCTAGAACTCAGGAATTCTGACTCTAGGCCTAGGCTCTATCCACTGCTCCACCAGCTGCCCCCTAAAGGGCAACAAAATCATCAGTGATCAGAAAGACGGAACAAGAAATGTCAGTGCATTCTTCCATCCAGTCAGAATAGCACAAGAAGGTGACCAGAGGTAAGTAGGTGCTTAATTAAGGCAGACAGAAGTCAGCACAAGCTCTAGTAAAGAGCGTGCAGGCTGGGGCACCCCGAGAAGGGAAAGCAGAAGCCACTTTGAGCTCCAATAACTGAGGCCTTTGTCCAGGGGCAGCTCAGCCCTGGCCTGTGGGAGCAGGGCAAGGGACAGAGCCCCCATAGGTCACAGAAGCTGCATAGAAGCCCAGGGCCAGCCAGCACATGCCTGGGAATAAGTCCAGTGCAGTGACCAGGCCTCTGTGTCAAAAGAGGGAATGTGCAAGAGCCTGGACGTCAGCACAGTGTCCAGCATCCAGCTGGAAGCCTGTCAGGGCCATAGCAGGGAATGAAACCAACTCCTGATTGGGGATTGTGCAAGAGAAGGAGGCAGGAGGGTTTCCCACATTGGGGCAGCCATGCCCACAGCAGCGGTAGGCAGGCTACAAAGGAGACAAGACCCCATCCAAGAGAATAGGAGAGAGGGGAGCCTGACCCTGAGTCAAAGTCCCAGCCTAGAAATGAGCAAACAGAAGAAAACGCCAAACACCATCGAGAAATACTCTGGGTTAAGAGACACCAAAGAGCCTCACAGAAGACGAAAGTAACTACAAACAAGGTCAGATAGAACCTCAGAGAAAAGAATGGCTGATCCACAGGGACTTTCAGAGTAACGAGAAGGGGGCTGCTAGGTGGCACAGCAGATAGAGCACTGGTCCTAGTTTCAGGAGGACCTGAGTTCAAATGTGGCCTCAGGCACTTGACACCTACTAGCTGTGTGACCCTGGGCAAGTCACTTAACCCCAATTGCTTCACCAAAAAAAGAGTAACTAAAAGAACTGAAATGATATTTTTTTTAATGAAAATAAAACTCTGGTGGAGGAAAAAAAAAATAGAGCATACATAGCTGAGAAAAGAAAGTAGGCAACTTTATCCAGGTAGTGAGTCACTTTACTTCTGTCTGCCTCAGTTTCTCAATCTGTAAAATAGTTAATTATAACACTCATTTCCCAGGGTTGTTATGAGAATAAAATAACATAATATTTATAAAGTGCTTAGCACGGTGCCTGGCACGTACTAAGCACTGTATAAATGTTATTACTATTATTATTGTTGTTATTGTACTCCATGAAAAATATAATGGCATAGTAAGAATTCAATAACCCCATCAGGCAGCAAGAAATACTGGTACAAAATCAAAAGATTGAAAAAGTAGAAGAAAGTGTTAGGTCTCCATTATCAAAGATAACTGTCCAGGAAAAGAGGTCAAGGAGAGATCATCTCAGTGTCATCGGACTCCCTGAAAATTGGGAAACCATGTTTCTTTCTTTCTTTAGTTGGGGAGGGGAGTGGAGAAGGCAGTTGGGGTTTAGTGACTTACCCAGGGTCACACAGCTAGTAAGTGTCTAAGTCCAGATTTGAGCTCAAGTCCCCCTGACTCCAGGGCAGATACTTTATCCACTATGCCACCTAACTGCCCTGGAAAGTATATTTCAGGAAATCATAAAAGAAATCTTCTTGTTAGATCTAATAGAATCAGAGGGCAAAATGAGAAGAGAACAGATCCGCTGGTGAGTGACCTCAGAGAAACTCCATGCTGAAAACACCCAGGGATGTCATAACCAAATTGCAAAGTTTCTGTGTTGAAAAAATAAAAATAAAAACACTGCAAGCATCCAGAAGGAAAGAGTTCAAGTTTTTCGCGAACCACAGTACAGATTGCATAAGGCTGTATGCTGCAGCTGCTATAAAGGAGTGGAAATCTTGAAATACTAAATAGCTTTTTCCAAAAGGAAAATGGTTCTGTGATCCTTAAAGACAATAACATAAGTAACATAAAAACCCAAGGACTGGGTATGGTTTAGTTCTTTTCTGTTGGTTTGAAGAGAGGGATCCATAAGGGAAGAAATGAGGAATTTGCTATTTCTTGTAATTGGGGTGCATGAGAATAGTATACAAACATGGAGGAAAGTAATGGCGGCATATGAGGGCATGGATCTTACTCTTGTCCTAACTAGAAAAAGGAGGGTTGTACACATAATGGTTTGATGTCTAAATACTCTAAACAACATGGAAATGGGAAGAGGGAGGGTAAAACCCAAGATGACGTCACCAGCAAAATGAATCAGCTTCAGAGGTGGATCGGGCAGCCAGATAGTACAGTGGAGCCTGGAGTTGGGAAGACTCCTCTTTCTGCGTTCAAATGTGACCTCACACATTTACCAGCTGTGTGACCCTGGGCAAGTCACTTAACCCTGATTGCCTCAGTTTCCTCATCTGTAAAAATAAGCTAAAAAAGGAAATAGCAAACCATCTGTTATCTTTGCCAAGAAAACTCCATATGAGGTCATGAAGAGTTGGGCATGACTAAATAACAGCAAACAAGCTCTGTGACCCTGGGCAAGTCACTTCACCTTGTTTGCCTCAGTTTCCTCATCTGTAAAAATGAGCTGGAGAAGGAAACAGCAAACTATTCCAGTATCTTTGCCAACAAAACCCCAAATGGGGCCACAGTGAGTGGGACACAACTGGAAAAACAAATAAACAAAACAAACAAAAAAAAAATGACTGAACAGATCAGAGGTGGATCACTAAGTGGCTTTTAAAAGGAGATCAAAGGGGGCAGCTAGGTGGCACAGTGGATAGAGCACCGGCCCTGACGTCGGGAGGACCTGAGTTTAAATCTGGCCTCAGACTAAATACGTGACACTTAACTAGCTGTGTGACCCTGGGCAAGTCACTTAACCCCAATTGCCTAACGAAAAAAAAAGATCAAAGGAGGAACACACTGCTTCTATTGTAGATCCTTAGTGTTGATCCTGTTCTTTCCTTTTCCTTTTCTTACCTCTTCTGTAAAGACAAAGCGGAGGGTGAAAGGATAGAGAGAAACCTGAGAAGACTAGCATAAGCCACTACAGAATGAAGTGAGCAAAGCCAGGAGAACAATTTCTATACAATGACTACAACACTGAAAGAAAACAGTTTTGGAAGATGCAACCAGTGTGTGGGGCAGTTTGCTTGACAATAGTTAATTTATTACCAAGGAGGGCTTTTGGAGAGAGAGTGGGGAAATTAGAGCCAAGTGTAATAATGATGGGGAAAAAAAAGAAAAGAGCATCAGTGAAACATATTTAAAATACGCAGAATTGAGAACAGTTCAGAAGACGACAGACAAGCATGGTAGTGTTCATTCTATCGTGTTAAATTTCGTATATACTTTTTTTAAAGTATACATAGGGATTTGCAGTTTCATGTAAGATCTTTTTCTTTTCATATGTGCAAATGTTCTTATTTGTTGTTAAGTTCATAATTAAAAAAAAATTTTTAAGGAAACATAAGCTGCTTTCTCCTTCCTGAGGCAATAAAGCAGTCACTTCTACATTTTGGCAAAATTTCCAACAACAAAGGTTGAAATAAAACGTTTCCTCACTTAACCAGAAAATTCAAAAGACTGTATTCATTCCCTGAGCATTTGTTGACTCCAGGCTTTCCCCTTAGTAATTTTCAGAGAGCGCTGTATCATCAAATGCATAGTAGTAAACAAACCTAGTAATTACTGACATCGATCCTAGCCAGCTCAGTAAGACATAGCCTAGGATCACACTAAAGACACCGGGGTCTCGTTTCACTGCTGTTACTGTGCTGGCTGTGATCCCACAATAGTCTGCGCCCCATGGTTGGGTTTTTTTATTTGAATACAAACAATTTTAGTCTTAAAAATATTAAAGTTATATCATCTTAAATCTTCCTCAAATAATCTGCAGGATTTCATTCTTCTCTCCTCTCTTCTCCCCCTCCTACTTTCCAGAAGATTCATGCAAAGGCAATTATTGTTTATTTTCTCTCATTTTTAGGAATTTATGCATATAGGATCTGGACTATTCATGGGACAAATCCATTAACTAGTAAACAGACACAGCAGAGATTTCTTTGGACTCAAAACTCATTCCGCCAAAGAGCATGACGCTTAGAATCATAGAATATCAAAATTAGAGGAATCCTTAGAAATCATTTAGCCTGATCTCCCTCCCTATGTCGGAATCCCTTCCACACCATCCTTGACAGGTAGCCAATCTGACCTTCACAGTATGCATCACAGTATTTTCTAAGGTGGGAGAGGAGATTCCCATTACCTCCTAACACAATTTAATAAAAACACCAAAAACTCACTAATTTTGTAACATAGACATTCCCTAACCGCTAATCTGGGTGGTGGTGTTCAATCATTAGGTCATTTCCAGCTCTCCATGACCCCTTTTCGGGTTCTCTTGGCAAACAGAGTGGAGTCACTTGCCATTTCCTTCTCCAGCTCATTTTACAGATGACAAAACTGAGGTAAACAGGGTTTGGTGACTTGTTAGTTAAGTGTCTGAGGATTTGAACTCGGGTCTTCCTGATTCCAGGCCCAGCGCCTAGTTGCACCAATCTGGGTGTAGCTCCCACAATTCACAATTCTTTGGCGGGGAGGTGATTGTATTGTTGAATGAATGAATGATTGAAAAAGCATTTATTAAGTGCTCACTTTATGCAAAGCACTTGGGACACAAACAGAAAAAACAGAGACAGTCTAGTAGTTCAGGTCCTAATGGGAAAGACAACACATGTAGAAGTGTTCAGCTGCAGCTCAGATGGAGAGGCCCCCTAATCCTCAGGGAAGAGTAGCAATGCAGATGGTAATGCATCTTATTTAATGACATTTCCATTGATAAAATTCTATAGCTTTGTGATGCTGAACTGTTTGACTGTTCCAATGTCTCTGTTAGCAAGAGCTATTTTTTTTTCTGGGTTTTCAGTAGCTGTGAGGAGATGGAGGTCTATTGCAGTGGCAGTTGATGATTTGAGAATCAGAACCTCAGGCAAAATTTGTAAATAGCGGTCACAGAGATGAGGAATCAAAAGATGAACATCTGAAAATAGCAGAGGGAAAAAGGCGTCAGGTTACAGTCGATAGCCAAGGAGGTGGGAAGATTGACAGGAAGAAGTGGGACATTCTGTTTCTGCTCTTAGCAGCTGTATTATGACAGCTACTTTTCCAGTGGAGTTTTTGGTGGTTGTTTTGTGGGGTGAGTTTTTTAGGGGAGGGGTCACTGTGTCTGAGTGCTGTGGATGACCTGTGCTTCTCCCCCTCCTCCTCCTCCTAGGCACGGGTGATGGCCACTATTGGGGTAACCAGAGGACTTGGGGACCATGACCTGAAGGTGCATGACTCCAACATCTACATCAAACCATTCCTGTCTTCAGCTCCTGAGGTACAAGATGACTTGGGGGAGTGCTTGTGGGTATGCCTGTAAAAAGAAAAATTCAAGTCGATGTCCAATAGAAATGTCCTCTTTCCTCATTTCTGCTATTAGAATATACCCATTTCAACAGACATTCATTCAGCTCCTGCCATGTGCAAAGGGAGAGCCAGAAAGACCTAGTGGGGTAGGGCAATGGACCCCTTCATCAAATACACCCCTAACTAAAAGATCTAATGTATCCCCAGTAGATTTATACTTTCTTATAAAATGTATATACATACAGTCAGCTTTGGTCATTGACTTTAATGACTCACAGAGCTGGAAAAGATATTTGTAGGTCCAGTTTGAAAAAGTACATCATGAGCTGTTTTTCCTTACTTATAGTACTCTTCTTTCAGTCCTATCCACCCATTATGCAAAGGCTTTTATTGAAATTCAGCTAGTAAATTTCCATCTTACCTGACATAGAGGGAATTAATGCTGAGATGCTGCACCAATAGCCATTCCCCAGGGGAGGAGTGGTCCAAGGATATGAACAGTTTCATGGGGATGAATTGTAGACCAATATTGAGTATGTGAATGATTACTCCAGATTAAGATAGTAATAAGAAATGCAAATCTAAACAACTCTGAGGTTTTACTTCCTGCCTAGCTAATTGGGAAAGATGACAAACAGTGGGAATATGTTGGAGACATTCTGGAAAGGCAGGCACACTGATACCCTGTTGATGGAGCTGTGGATGGAGTGTGGGATTCCCCCAACCATTCTTGGGAGGAAAAAAATTTGCAAATCTGCTGAGACAGTGACTAAACTCTCCATATCCTTTGGTCTAGAGATCCCACTGTCTGGCATGTACTGCAGGGAGGTCAAAGATTGGAACAGGGGGATAGGGGTGGGAAGTATCCAACATATATCGGAATATATATAATATAATAGCAACACTTTTCTTGGTAGCAAAAAGCTAGAGGCAAAATTAACCCCGCTAATTAGGGCCTGAGGACTAAAGAAATTGTGATACGTGAATGTATTACCGCAGCATAGAAAGCAATGAAGATAAAGACGATGGGGATGCGTGGGAAGACATATAAAGTGATGCAAAGTGAAGTAAGCAGCACCATGAAAACAATATATACAATGACTGTCTCCAACAATGTCAGTGGGAAGAAAAATGGAAACCCCAGGTGCTATGTAATTATAATGACTATGCTCCTGGCCATCTCCACAGAGGTGGAGGGAGATGATCATGGAGGTGGAACACGGAATATCCTTTCAGATTTGATCAATATTTTGATTAATGTTGCTGAACTTTTTTTCTCCTCTTTCTTTTTTAGTCTTTGTTAACAAGGGTTAGCTCTCTGGGAGGGAGAAGGTGGAAAATATATTGGGAATGGAAAGAGATATAAAAATGAGGTATCAATTTAAAAAATTGTAAAACATGTCACCTTTACTTTGAAAGAAGGGAGGGAATAAGTATTTATGTAGTGGCTACTGTGTGCCACTTTTTACAAATATCATCTCATACCCTGGGAGGTAGGGCTACTATGATGCCCAGTGAGGAAACTGAGGTAGGCAGAGATTAAATGACTTACCCAAGGTCACGTAGCTATTAAGTGTCTGAGATCACATTTGAACTCAGTGCTCTATCCTTTACATCTCAAACTGCTTAATTAAGGGACAAATTAAGCATATTATCTTTTCTTAAATATCTTCTATATAGCATATGATTCACAGAAAATGTCAGCAAATTTGGGAAATTTTCTTTTTGTAAAAAAAAAAATGTATCATATCTTTAAATTCTCCATGCTTTTTTAAGTACTTTGCCAGGAATTACCAAGTGAATCTGTGTGGGGAGAATGTCGGCATGGGTAATCTTCTGAAGCTAAAGATTTTTGGAGGTCTTCTGTTTGTTTTCGTAGCCTTTACCAAATAAACGCTCCATGGTCATACTGCTAGCTGAGGCAGCTGTGTGGTACAATGGATGGAAGGCTGGCATTGGAGTCACTAAGACCTGAGTTCAAATCCAGCCTCAGACACTTGCTAGTTGTATGACCCTGGATGAGTCACTTAACCTCTGCCTGTCCCAGTTTCTTCAGTTATAAAATGGGTGCAGTAATAGCACCTGTCTCAGGGTTGTCTTAAAGATAAAATGAGATGATATTTGTGAAACTGCTTAGTATAGTGCCTGGCACATAATTGGTGCTCAATAAATGATGATTTCCTTCTTTCCATGATGAATTATCATATCCCCAAATTTCATTCTTCAGGACTTTGGATATTTTTTGCATATGTACTGTAGATCTCTACTCATAAATATATACAGAACAGATAAATACAAGGTAATCTGTGAGGAAGGGCATTATGAGGTGGGGAGATTGTAGAAGAGGCAGTGGTATTTGAGCTGAGTTGTGAAGGAGGAAATAAGGGATTTTAAGAGGCAGAAGTGAGGTAGGTTGGAGAGCATTCCAGGTATGTCAAACAACCAGTGCAAAAGCATTCAGGTAAGAGGTGGAATGTATGGGGCAGCTAGGTGGTGCAGTGGATAGAACACCGGCCCTGGATTCAGGAGGACCTGAGTTCAAAGCCAGCCTCAGACACATAACACTTACTAGCTTTGTGACCCTGGGCATGTCACTTAACCTCATTGCCTAGCAAAAAAACAAAACAAACAAACAAAAAAAAGAGGTGGAATGTAGTGAGTAAGCAGGAAGGCCTATGTGGGGAGGAAAGGTTGACATGATGAGACCAAGGCTTTAGGACAAATCACTTTGACAGCTGGGTGGAGGATGGACTGGAGTGGGGCAGGATTGAGGCAGGGGAGACTAATTAGAAGGGTATTGCAGCAGTCTGTCTGAGAGGTAATGAGGACTTGTATCAAACTGGTGGGTAGGTATATAAATAGAGAAAAGGGGGAGGGTGGGAGAGATGCTGAACAGGTAGAAACAATGAGATCTGGCAGCAGACCAGATATATGTGAGGACGAGTGAGTGTGTGGAGTTGGGGGTGACACCAAGGTCTGTGAATTGGAAGGATGAGGGTGGCCTGGGTAGAACCAGAGAAAGAATAATAAATAAATAGTGAGTAATGAGGTCCGAGGATGAAGGTTGGGTCCTCATCTTCCATTATAAATTCTCTCTCCATCTGCTTGTACCCAAGGTTTTTAATTGAGTTTTCTTCTTCATGAGATCTTCAGTAATTTTAAGTCTTTTTCCCCGCTTGCCTGCGCTCTGAGATCCACTCCCCAGGTCCCTTGTGGCTGCTGCCGTGATGTCTATCGCCACAGCCTCCTCGCCCTGCCCCTGCTCGCAGCGTCCTGTGCCTCATGAGCACTGCTTCAGCCCAGGTGCTGCCATCGCATTCAGGACCGGCTTCCCTTTCCCGTGCCTCGACCTCCTCCTCATAAGGTGGGGAGGGAATCTCAGGGCACACGGTCCAGTTTTGTCACCCTGACAGATGGTGGGGGGGCCAAAGAAGGAGGGGACGCTGAGGGAGTGTGTCCCAGGTTAGGGATTAGCCTTCTCTGATGTTAGCTCATTCATGCAGTCATTACCTCCTTAGGGTTCTTGTTATCAGCCTGGGGAGATGGCTGTGATTGTTTTATCTGTTGCACAGGTTTGAGAGATCTCAATGTCACTTGCTTGGCTCACTCACCTAAACAGTCTTGGAAAGGGTGGGGGGGGGATTTAGAACTCAAAATCTTATAAAAGTGAATGTTGAAAACCAAAAATAAATATTTTTTTAAATTAGTGTTTTAAATTTTACATGTAATTGGGAAATATTTAATGAAGTAAATAAAAATATATTTTAAAAAATAAATTAAAGCAGCTTTGAAAGGTAGTGCCTTTGGCGGCTGAAAAGTAAACTGGCTGTGATGGGGATAGCCTTAGCAATCAGGAAGCTTTAGGAAGGGTGCCATAGAGAGAGAAAGCACCTTGGTGGCATACTGGGTAGGGTACTGGTTCTGGAATCCAGCTTCAGACACTCTTATGTGATCCTGGGCAAGTCACTTAACCTCTGTGTGCCTCACTTTTCTCAGCTGTAAAATAGGAATCATAATAAATTGTCTACTTCACAGGGTTGTGAGGATCAGATGAGATAATACCTGTAAAGTGCTTAGCACAGTGCCTGACATTTAGTAGGCATTTAATAAATGCATATTTCAGGCAGCTAGGTGGCACAGTGGATAAAGCACTGGCCCTGGAGTCAGGAGGACCTGAGTTCAAATCTAGCCTCGGACACTTGACACATACTAGCTGTGTGACCCTGGGCAAGTCACTTAACTCTGATTGCCTCACCAAAAAGCAGAAAAGAAAAGGAAAATGACTCCACGAAAATGGAGAATAAGGGATGGGAAATTAGAAGGTTCATGCCACCTAGCAGGGTGTGAATAGCCAAGGGTGTGCATCATGTTATAAAGACACTAATGCAGTCTTGGAAAAACCGTGGAGTTAAGTTTTAGAAGAGAGATGGGGTTCAGTGTTGCGAGCCAAGTGACTGCATGCCCTGGAACAGACACATGATTAAATGAAATTGCTAAGGAGGAAGGTTAATTAACTAACCTTGTGTAGTGATCGGGAGTCTGGGCCCTGGTTTTGGACCAAGGAGGAGGAAGAGGAGGAAATAAGGGTGAGTGATCAGAAATCAGAATTAGAAAGGATTACAAAAACTTGATCTGTGTGGAAAACTGCCAAGTTGAACTGAATAACAGGAGATAAGGTACCACTGAGTTGCCCCATGTGTAGTCTGCATTCACAGATTACCTGCAATTGTGGTAGAATATAGTGTCTGTTTTAAATAGCTAGCTGCTCTAGAATTCCTTATTCCTTTTCGTTAATAGAAGCTTAGGTTTAGGTCTGGAAGGGACCACAGAGATCATTGAGTTTTACAAATGGGGAAACTGAGACCCAGAGAGGTTGTGACTTACCTTTGGTTCCACCCCATTAAGTAGCAGAACCCTAGTGTTCTTAATGCTGTTTCATGAGTTCAAGATGTAGGTGCATTGGCAAGGGGG